CAGAGAAAGGTTTAATAGTCAATTGGTGTCCCCAACTGCAAGTCTTGACACATGAGGCTTTGGGGTGTTTTATCACACACTGTGGTTGGAACTCCACATTGGAAGCTTTGAGCTTAGGAGTTCCAGTGATTGCAATGCCACTGTGGACTGATCAGATCACAAATGCAAAACTTATTAAAGATGTGTGGAAAATTGGAGTCAAAGCTGTTGCTGATGAGAAAGATATAGTTAGAAAAGAAACTATCACACATTGCATAAAAGAAATATTGGAGACTGAAAAAGGAAATGAAATAAAGAAAAATTCCATCAAGTGGAAGAATCTGGCCAAGAGTAGTGTTGATGAGGGAGGAAGTTCCGATAAAAATACTGCAGAATTTGTGAATGAATTGGTTCATCGCCGTGCTGCATTAAATTAATGGGAAAGGAAGTGCTCATAGAAGTTTTGTGCCACAGCCAAAGTATGCTATGCTGATTCTGCTTAGAATAATCAACTTGACAAGGTTGTAAATTTAAGTTTTGGTAAAAATTGTTAGCTTCTGCATTCTGAATTTGTATGTCTTTTAGAACATCCGTTATTTTAGCATGCAGTTCTTTGTCATTTGTGTAAGATGATTTGCTCCATCATGATAAGAATGTATTTGTCTCTTGTTGGACCAATAATTCAACAGTTTGCAACATGTCTACATAAAGCATCTCACATGTCATCAAAAGATGTCAATAAATCAATACCTCTAAGTTAAAGAAAGGTTCATTAAATGCACTGGACTGGGTATGTATTATTCCAATAGAGTACAAAATCACAATCTGGTAACTAGAGTTGACTTCACTTGACTGTGATGGTTTTATAAGGTTTTATATATGATGTGATACTAAGTAGATAAATTAAAAATAAAGAACAAACCATTAATTGGGTTAACAAAGTTTCCCAATTATAACTGTTCACAAGACATGCTAGCAAATGGAAAAGAGAAAAAACATCATTGACAGAAACATTTCTACAAAGTTTGACTTTACTTTAAATGAGCTTAAAGTTAAACATCATGGTATATATGTTTCTCTGGTCTGTAATCCACGCCATTCAATAAATTCATACGGTGATATGAGATTTACATCCTTTTCATTAAGAACAAGGTGGCATGTATTTAGGAGGTGGAACCATACTAGTTTGCATGGTACCTCCATCTCTTACTATGAGCACAGTATCCATACCCCAGCTAGTGTGCCTCTCAAGATGACAGTGCATGTACCAAACACCTGCAAAAGCAAATTAATTGAGTGTTATTTCATATATTGTTGTTTCAAACTAAATGCTAATTTCACTATCTGTGAGTATGTGTAGCATGCGAGAAAAAACTACCAGGATTATTAGCAACAAATCTCATTGCAAGCCAGCCATTCTTAGGAAGACCAATGGTATTAACTTCTGGTGGATCAATTAAATTGTAAGATTTTGGATCTGTCACGTTGTTGAAATTTCCTGTTCCCACACCCACAACAAAGAAGCTAAAACCATGAAGGTGCATGGCATGATTCTCTGCAGTGATAACACTGGTTCCCTGCCACACAAGTTCAACAACCTCATTATAGTCAAAAATTAGCACCCTTGTTCCTGTGCTTGGGATCGATGTATTGCTTCCTGTATCTCCTGTGAAGTTGTAAAAGAAAGGTGGTTGATCCGGAAAGTCTTCACTGAAAACTCCTGATATGTTCCTACCAATGCATACAATTTATAAATGTTACTTAGTTATAATATTAAAGAGCAATTCCTGGCTGAGTCTTAATATTTTACATAAAATAGGGGGATTGTAAATGAAATAAAAACATATACCAGTAGTATGCCTCTAGAATATCAATCTGTGGGATCTGAAAACTTATATTGTTTAAGCTTGAAGCTAATCTTTTTCCATTAGGTCCTAAACAACTTCCATTTGGGTTTTGACAAGGGAGTTCATTCATGGATACTGTCATATAAATTCTTCTTGTCACATTTATTGGCACATTAGCAGGGTGATCTTGGCTTGCCAAACCCCTCAAGCTCTTCGTAAAATTGAATACTGTTCCTGAATCATTCACTGCAGGAAGCACAGGCATGGGGATGGATGATGGTGATGGTTTAAAATTCTCACTGTACTCAAGAATAGCTGTTGTTGGGGAATTGTCATATATATCGACGCCATCATAGAAAGGACTAGCAGCAATGTAATAGAGACCCTTTGGCTGGTTTGCTGAGACCAACACATCCATTGTTTGTCCTGGGGTTATCATGATGAAACTGGTGTTTAAGGGCTTTGTGTAGGAACCATCAATGCCTACAAGTATAAGGCTATGATTAGCAACCCCAAAGAACATCTCTTCGTTCATTGCTGCATTTATTATTCGGAAAAGATATGTCTTTCCATGATCAACTAAAAAGCGACGAGTGTTCTCTGCAAAACAAAGCAATGTTGATGAACAAAGTGGTGAAACACGATACCAAAGACAAGAATTACTTGCAGTTTTACAATCTATAATACAGGTGCATCTCTAAGATATGTAGCACAGACACTCATACAAACACTGGACACTAACACGGATACAAACACTTCGACACTTATAGTTTCCAGGTAAGACATGGGGACACGAATCTATATGGGTATTCAAAAAATTTTTGTATCTATTCTTATTAACATGGTGTTAGTAACATGCCAAAATTTTTTCAGAGCACAAAAGTCTCATCCCACTACCTAGTTGAAGTTACATGAATCATGCAGTGGCATTAGACTTGGTTAAAAATCAAAATTTTGTCAGAGCACAGAAGTCTCATCCCTTTTAACAATACAATCTTATTCTTCTCAGTAATGTTTCCAACAAACCTTTTTTCCATGTGGGTTTGTGCATTCTCTATGTTTCAAGTCCAAAATGGGATTTTGTGTAAGGGATATTGAAATATCATTCATGTATCTACAGTTAATAGCTTAAGCTTTTAGGATAGATTTTCAAGACATTAATATACCTTTTGAGCAATTGTAGAAGTCACCAGGTTTGCCATTGATTGTGTAAGCATCTGATGCATTGGGCTCTGCACCAGTTGCCCTGGCCTCATTTACAATTTGCATCACATCTCCCTTGTACCACTCACCTGAAAGATCACCAACAAGCATAATCAAGAGGTTGTGTGTGTGTGCTTGAATAAATACAGGATTTGAATGGAATTTCCATGGACAGTTACCAACCAATGATAAGAATGTTTTGTCCACAAGGTTCAGGGAAAGGATATGTTCCATTTGCTGGTAAAATGACAATGGCACCATGGACAGTGGCACGTGTCCAACTACTGTGTGCATGCCACCAAAGAGTTCCTTCTTCCAATGTAAAGGCCACCTTCTGAGTGAAACTTGTTCCTGGTGGGATAGGGCACTGTGTTATGTTCTCAGGTCCATCTGACCAAGGATCCCTTGGTTCCCTCACACCATGCCTGTAAAAAAGGTTCCAACTTTTTCACCTTTTCCTACTTTTGGAGGCATGTAGTTATTAATCAAATTCAATTCACACACCTCAAGTTAAGCCATAGTATCTGTTTTGTTACTGATTAGTATATAAAAAATCAAAAGCATTTATTCTCTATATGAGGAAAGAAAAGAGAGGAACAATTTTTTTCTTGGTTTATGCTAAAGACTAATTCCTTCGCTGTAGAAATCATTTGGGTGTCCTTATAAATTATTTTCTATGCATATGATCAGGAATTGAATCCCTGAAAACATGGTCAAGGAGCTTAACTACATATCACTTGTGCTGAACATAATTTGGCTGTGTCAATGAAAATTTATGCTATAACTAATGCATGTGGTTGGGTTGTGCACAAACATGAACAGGAGGAAGCAAAATGATAAAAAGAGAGGCAAAATGGGAGATTTAACCAGTGAATAGTGACCCTGTTGGATTAATAGAAGAAAAAAGAGGCAACGAGAAAATGAAGAAGGAAGACAGTGGAGAGTTCCTTAATTCTGGAAAAGGATCTTTTATTCAATATATCTCAGATACATTTATAATGATAAAATTGAAAGCATCCACGTAGCAATAGCAGTTTTCAGAAACCACATAACAGTAGCAGTTTCCAGAAACGAGACTTGCTCCTAAAGTGTAGCAACTAATAAATTAAAATAAATGGAAATAAATTAAGGCAGTTATAAAAAACAAGTTTTAACAGACCCCATATCTTCCTTGATTATGGACAGTGACAAAAGCTGTATCTCCTTTGTGAACACGAATGGTTGGTCCTGGAAAACTATCATTTACTGTCAGTATGCTTTTTGTGCTGCACAATCTCGTGAAATTCTTTTCCTTCAGCTGCAACAAACCACCCAAATTAAAAATATCACACCCTTATCACTTATCCCCTTTTCTTCACTTCAAAAACCAAACACAAAGGCCACTTTAGTAGGTGTGAGTTTGAGTAATGAGAAAATCTTCTGTTATCACTTTTGTTAGTACATTGAAGATGATAATGATGTGTGATGCATAAGAAAACTAAGAGACTATCTCTATGTTATAAAGATTCTAAGTCAATTTGATAAGAAAAATTCTCCCCTTCTTAGAAGGTAAGAACGATATTTAATCACTACAAAACACTTTAAGTGATGGAATTTGGAAACATACAACAAAATCATAATAATGAACGTTGCCTTGGCTCTTGGAGATAACCAGAAAACTCAAAATAAGAAGTAGGACATTATGATTCTGTGAGATGATCATTTTACTGGAAGCAACTGCAGGATGATAGGTTCTATCTTACTTGTTTGGTTTTCATGTAGACTGATTTGAAGTTGTTATATAGGTTAATTTCATGAACCTTAGAGATTCTAAATGGTCTTTAACTTCATTGGTACAGTAACCACACACGTATTTCTTAGGTACTAGTTTCCTCTTACAGTCATATTTGTAAATGATGTACGTTTTCATAATATACTGTACTTTCCTAAAGCAGGGGAATATATTAATGTATCTTCAATTAGACATTATTGAAGCTTGAGTGAGCACGTAAAATTTCACTTGGGATAGGTTTTCCTTGTTTGTATGTAATGCTTTAATTCCTTCCAGTCAAGGCTCTTCTACACATTAAGAACAAAATGATAAAGAAATCTACAAAAGAAACAACTATGATAATGTTAAGCACGTACGGACATGGCTAAATTAGCCAGAGTCTGAAATTTGTGTATGATGATGATACATTGCATATTTCATATTCTACATTTGGTTAATTGCTTATTTTCCTCTACTAAGTTCTTGTACAAAATCAATGGTGATTACATGCAGTCGACAAAACTTTCTCGGTGGCGAATACATGGTTTTTGTGAAATATGATTTTGGCTATTATCGATGAATCTTTTGAGGTTGGTAAGTCACTGGTGAACTCGTATAAGAAATTATGATATTTTTTCCAATTTTTTAATATATTTTTAACTTTGTTATTTTTTAAGGTTCATTTGCTTACTCGGTTAGTATCTGCTTTTAAACATGCATATATAATTTTCACCAATTAAATTCTTTCAGTAAAATTGACAGTCCGTGCTAAGTACTTTTTTTTTCTCTCTGTTATGCTATCTTTTTCTCTCCCTTCTTTATTCTTCTCAATGTTGCATGACAGAAATTAGTTATTATTTAAGTGATGATTTTAAGTTTGATAATAAG